ACAAAATACTTATAAGGGCTATTATACAATAAATAAAATTAATTTCTTATGGAGCCAATTTTCTTATTTTTGAATAATTTAGTTTTAAAATCTTCACTATAAAACCCAATATCATAAGAACTTTATTACTTTCGTTAAGTAGTACCTAAGGTTCACCTTTAACTTCAACCCTTTTCAATATTTATCTTATAGCTAATAACTATAAAACAATAATGTAAATTCCCTATTCTAGCTATTAATACGCTGATGATATCGTATTTATTATTATTAAACAAAAAGTTGAATAAAAATTACTAAAATTATTAGATCTAACTTCTTCTAACTTTGACCAACAAGAATAAGAGTGGAATATTTCTATTACATAATCACTCCTCAACAATTAAAACGAAGCTCTAATTCCCTAAAGTAAAGGAATATAAATATTTAGGAATATTAATTTAATACGATCTAATTAATGAAAAAAAGAAATCACATTAATAGTACACCATATGGATTACTAAAAAAATGATAAAGAGTTTACACATCCACTACACCTTAAATGCTATTTCTACACAAAATTTCTATAACTGATACAATCAATAAAATAAACTAACTGGATTTCCAAGAAATACTCCTAATAATTTATTAGAACTCTTTATCTCAAATTTACTGATTTTATTTGAAATTGAATGCACTTAGATTATTTAAGAGCAATTTTTGATCACTCAATCTATCGTAAAAGACTTAATTAATGGCAAAAATATTAAGTATTTTGTTATAAATCATGTATAAGAAACAAAGAACAAAAATTAAATCATGTAAACTTGTTTAATAAATCATAAAAATATTAAAAAGAATTATGAGGCATATCAATCGTTTACAAGGATAAATAAAAATTAAATTAAAGTGTTATCCTATAATTAATAGTTTAATTTCTCTTCTTCTCTTTTGTTATCTTCCATTCACATTCATAAGTGAAAGTTACTATGCTTAGAATTGTTTTAAATAATTTGCTTTATAGTTTTTAAGTTTGGATAATTGACAGCTTTAAGTTCATATACTGTTAAAAAATCAATATTATTTCAAGTCAATTTCATAGAATAAAAAGTCAATAGCAATTATAATAAAAAGGCATATTTGATAAACATAATACAATTAGTTACAGGGTTACTAAAACTATTTTATATAATAGGGTAATAATTTTTGGTTCAAAGAACATGCCATTCTAATAAATTTCTAAATTTAAAGATCACAATAATATAAACTTAAAAATTATCCCAAATAACTAACAAAAAAGAGCAATTTTATTTCAATTAAGATGTTGAATTAATTTGACAAAACTATGGAAAGTTAGAATTATTAATTCACAATATCAATTCAACTTTAGAACATTTTTGAACCAAAAATACTGTTTTTAGTTTATATTAATATTGCCAACGAATTCAAGAATTATTACACCTAGTAATATAAATTTCAAGAATGTGCATTTATTTAATAAAAATAAAATAATAAATGTATCAAAAAATCCCAATTACTTTGTTTAGGGTAAGCAAGATTGGTATAAAAAAATACGCAACCAATAAAGTCTAAACAAGTAAATACACATGGTTTAATTTTGTTCCAAAAAATATATTAGAACAATTTACTAAGCAAGCAAACTTATATTTTTTAGTAAAATATATTATTATATCAAGATTTTAGCAGTTTTATAAGCAATACCAATTATTTCAATATCGGATGGTTAACCGACAATATTGCTACCATTGATTTTCATTTTGATTGTTACCATGATGAAGGATTTATATGAAGACACAAAAAGAAAAAAAAGTGATAGTTAGGAAAACGAGAATACATGCCTTTTAGAATCAGGCTAAATTTTATAATGGCAGGAGATCCGTGTAGGTGAAGTTCTGAAAGTAAAAATCTGATCTAACAAGATAAGAGAAAATGAATAGTTTCCGTGTGATGTCTTGCTTCTAAAGAGTGTTCAAAAAACAGGGGAATGTTATATTGAGACAAAAAATTTAGATGGTGAAACAAACCTGAAATAAAAAAAAGTTCCATAAATCCTTTTATAATAAGGAGCTGAAATTTTTAATCACATAGTAGTCTAATACGATATGCCTAACAATTAGCTATATAAATTTTCAGGCTCCTGTTATTTTAACTTGGATAAAATTTAAGAAAATGATATTTTTTCGCTATTGAACCAAAAGGAGAATTTGAATGATTAATTAACAACTCTGCAATCTTAGAGGAATAAGGATTAATAAATAAATCTTATAATATCTTAAGTAAGAACTTTGGAAGAAGAAATAGAAAGAATTAGAATTTAAAAAATTGCATTAGATAATAATAATATCATTTTAAGAGGAAGCATTTTAAAAAATACAAGTCACATTATTTGTTTGGCATTATATACAGGGCACGATACTAAAATAATGAAAAATACAATCAAAGTCAAATATAAATAAAGTTCACTTGAAAAGTAACTGGGAAAAAGAATCATATTTATTTTTCTTCTTTAGTTAGGTATTTGTCTTTTTTCTTCTCTATATTATTCGATTTGGTTTAATGAAAATTATGAAACTTTGACTTATTTAGAAATAAAGAAATCAACTTATATTGACAATTCTTTTGCCTACAATTTTTTTGTAAGATTAGGAAATTGGATATTAATGTTTGGGTATTTTTCGTGTTTATATAGAAATCTTGTTCCAATATCTTTACTAGTAACTTTAGAAACAGTTAAATTTTGTCAAGCATTTTTGATTTAATTTGATAAGAAGATGAGTTTAAATGAATAAAGATGTTCGGTTTAATCCTCAAACTTAAACGAAGAATTAGGACAGATTAGATATGTTCTCAGTGATAAAACTGGAACCTTGACAAAAAATTAGATGATATTTAAGAAAATATGTATAGATGGGACTTCCTATGGTAATGATTATCAAAATATTTCACCCATTGATTTTGTATAATTTGATGATTAAACTTTTATAGATAAATTAAATTAAAATAATCCTATTATAGAGAAAACATTATTATTAATAACTTTATGCCATTCTGCAATAATTTAGAAAATTCAAGATGAATTATATTATAATGTTACTTCTCCTGATGAATTAGCTTTATTAAATTTTGCTAAAAAATTTTAAATCACATATAATGGGATTGATGAAAACAACATAATAACAATAAATTATAGGGGGAAGCAAAAATAGTTTTAATTCCTATATTTATTTGAATTTACGAGTGAAAGAAAGTGCAGTTCAGTACTGGTATGTGAGAAGGAAACAAATATAATTTATTTATTCTCAAAAGGAGCAGATTCTGTAATGTTATAGAAATAACTTCACTAAAATATTGAAAAATCTAAGAATTAGTTCAACAAATATATATCGGAATACTCTGAAAGAGGACTAAGAATTCTACTTTTAGGGTATAAAGAAATACATTGGAGTGAATATGCTTAATGGGAATCTTTATATAAATAAGTAATTACTCAGATGGAAGACAGGCAAGACAAAATGGAGGTCTTATAAGACTAGTTAGAAAAAGATCTAACAATCTTAGGGTTAACTGGGATTGAAGACAAATTGTAAGATAATGTTGATGAAACTATATATTGTTTGAGATAAGCTGGGATAAATATTTGGGTACTAACAGGAGATAAAATCGAAACTGCAATCAATATAGCAAAATCATGCAAATTGCTTGATTAAAAGATGAAAATTTAAATAATTTAGTAACCGATTTATGAAGATATAATTGCAAATTTAAAATAAAGTGATGCCTTTGTTGTCTCAGGTGAATGTTTGACGTTAATTCTGGAAGATACAATTTTAGAGAATTTATTTTCAAAAATTACTGAAAAATGCTAATCTGTTTTATGTTGCAGAGTCAGCCCATTGTAAAAGCAATAAGTAAATAGTAAATTTATTTGAAGGTAGTTTGCTTTGTAAGAAAATATTTTTCTATGTAATCATCTTTAGCAATTGGAGATGGAGCAAATGATGTTAGTATGATAACAAGCGCAAATGTCGGAGTGGGTATCTTTGGGATAGAGGGATAACAAGCAGCAAGAGCATCCGATTATGCTATTGGGGAATTCTAGTAATTAAGATAATTATTGCTGGTACACGGAAGGGAATCATATAGAAAAAATTCAGAGTTAGTTTTGTACAATTTTTATAAAAATGTGATTTTGGTTTTTCCATAATTTTGGTTTTCCATTTACAATAATTTTAGTGGATAAAGAATTTATGACAACTTAATTTATTAGGCTTACAACATATTTTATACTTCTGTGCCGATCTTAATTTTTGCAATTTTCGATGCAGAATATTCAGAATAAATGCTTTATTCAAATAAATACTCAACATATTCTATTGGGTTAACAAGTAAATAAAACTTAATATTAATTTAGATAGTTGCTTTAATACATCATTGTTTATATTAATGTTAGTTAATTCAATTTACTCATCAACAATTATTGCATTTTTTAGCATTTATATTTTTGATTAAAGCACTCATTAAGCAGGCCGATAATTATCGATTTGGTACACTGGCACAGTAACCTTTTGGTTGGCAATTTTAATATCCAATTTAAGAATAGTAATCATTTCGAATACATGGTCACCAGCACACATATTTTTCTTATTTGGGATGATTGCTATGTTCTTTTTCACTCTTTTAATTTTTGATGATTTTACTTCTTTTGACGGAGTCTATAAAATCTTTTTAAGGTAATTAATTTATTAAATTTTAGTGTGTTTAGATCAACAGGATTTTATTTAGTTTGCATCCTTGTAATTGGTTCGACATCTGTAATAGATCATCTATTGAATAGATTTACTTACTTTAATAAATAGCTTCAACCAATAAATAATAGGATATACTAGTTAGAATCATAATGAAATTGATAAAAAAATATGATAATAAAATAATTAAATATCTCATGACAACACTATTTGTTGTTCTTTCTGGCAAGCAGAAACATTTATATCAATTAATAATTATTCATAAACTCCTTTTGGATTTTCAAAATTAAGTTAATGGCCAGCATTCTCGATTATTCTAATAATAATATTATTGTTAGTCTTTGCTAAATTATATGCTCCTTTTTTGTCCATCCAATCTTGGTCACCAAAATAAAAATATATTGGAATATCCGAAATATATTTTGTATGCTTTGTTAAAATATACTCTATTGAATCCCACCCTCTAGCAATAACTCTAGGGAATTGCAATAATAAAAATAGCGCCTTTTCTGAACCATCAGGTAAAGCTAACATTTCATCTATATAAGATTGCCATACTTCATACTCTCTTCCTTATAAGGACATTCTTTTTTTGAGATATTTTTTTATGAAATAATTTCCATACCACTTATCCTTTAGTTATTAGGGTGTAATTTGTTCACTCCACTTTTTGTGAGCATAATTGAAAAATATTCTCTATAGAAATGGGTATTTTGATGTATCTTGCAATTTCCTAATGTATATAATCTTATACTTGATCTCGCTATCATCATAATATGTTCCTCCTGCAGGACTTAATAGAAACAGCCTTGAGAATAAATGGGGCATTCTTGTGAATAAATGAGCTGCTAAAAATCCACCGAATGAATGACCAATTAAAATTATTTTTTACTCTCTAATAAAATTCTCAATAAATTTTGATATTGTTCCCATAAAGAATTCGATTGCATCTTCATATGATTCCATTAAGATATCTGATTTGCTTGAGTATCCCATACCTGGCAAGTCAATCGAATATATTCGAAATTTTCTAATTAATTGTTCGTAAATCCTACAATAATGAACATTCGATCCTCCATACCCATGAAGCATCAAAACTATTTCCTGTAAAATTATGATGAAATAGAACCTTGTCAGACTCCCCTCCACAAAATGTGTGAATTTAATACTACTTTCCTTAATATTCAACTTCATAATCATATAAGAAGCAATTCAATCCAATCTTAATATCTAAATTGATAATTCATATGGATACTGTAATATTCAAGCAAATTTATCTCCTTTTTCCATCTCAATTCTTTTTTCTACTCTTCTGTCATTTAAACTGAGGACGATTTACAACTACAATTTAACATTTATTATAAAAATTAAAATATTATATTATTTTAAAACCTATTGTTAAATTAAGATCACATAACATTGTATTATTTCAAATTTTAGGACTTCCTTTAAAAGGTCTTAACACTCATAATTTATCTTACGCTTTGCTAATTCTATGGATCAATTTCTCTAATTTATAATATTGAATTCAATAATAAGTTGTCTGCTTGAGTTAAATGAGATAACGTTGCTGGATAGTTAATTTTTAGGTAATGTAATATATTTTAAACTATCTAAGTTTGTTGCGTTTGTGACATAATGTGGGTAGATTCAAGATCAACTAGGTTTTATTTTTCGATTTGGTTTTCTTTTTTGTAGTGTGACATCTCCTTTAAATGTAATTCTAGTTGATTATCTTAATATTCTAGATCAAAACTTGGAATCGTTTTTTCCTACTTAACAATAACTGTATATTTTACCTATGAATTGAAATTTTGATTGCCAATCTTTTAATAAAAAGTAATTTTTTCAATGTAAGCAGCATATTTATTGAGGAAATTATTGAATAATTATTCAATTATTGATTGTCTATGTTGTTCTTCATAAAGAAGATTGGAGTTTAAAATTAAGAAGTGAATAATAATAAAATAAAACTTATAATTGTATACAGTTAATGCTCTTCCAAATGTTAAATTCAAATAGGCACTTGTGTTAATAATAATTTATCTTAAATGGGTATTTAACAATTTAGAATTGTCTATAATTACGGGCATGAAAATTGAAATAAAAGTTTTTGGTAAAATTTCTTTTTATGATAATTAAAGTGAAAGTATGTTATAAAATTATTCTGTTAGTAACAAGCAGCATTCGTCTAAATTATAGTACTGATAAAATTGCTGAATTAAAATGGAAATTCTGATATTATCTTCAATAGAATTATTTTTTTAAAGTTCTGAATAAACAAATTTTAGCATCTAAGAAATCAATTATAATAAATACTATAGATATCCATTAAGGTTTTGATTTCACAACCTCAGAGGCATGAATTGTGCTTTGCAAAAATAGTTTAAAAACACTTTCTATTGTTAATTTTCCTTCTTTTTCAATAATAGCAGGTAAATTATCATAGATGATATATATTATTTCAGTTAAACCCTTTGTATATGAAATGAATTTTGAACAAGCATCAAAGATCTCATCTATAAACAACAAGTTTTCTGGTTGCAATAAATAATTCAAAATTTAATTTAAAGTTGGCTCTATTTAGGCCTATTAAATAGTTTTATAAATACCGTATACTTTAAAGTGTATGGCTGAGACAATATTATATCAATAATTTTTATGCAACTAAAGACAATAGAGGTGTGATTAACATATTACGTTTGATTGGCCTTGATCTTTTTACATCCAAAATCAATTCTTCTAGCAATTGATTTCATTATGTCATCAAGGTAAGTATCCACAATTACATTGCAATTCTAGACAACAATTGCAGCAAATTCATAATAGATATCTAGTTCGCATAATGCTAGTTAATCACAAAATTCAAAATGTTGGAATGCTATTGAGTCTTCCATCTTGAGTTAAACATCCTAATTCTATATTAAATTAATTAAGCATTTAACAGCAAATAATTTAACCCCTCTTTTTTGCTTAGTTTAATTTAATATTCTAAAACAGAATTTTATACATTTTTAAAAGGATCTCTCAGAATTTGAAAATATTGAAGGTAATACAATTTTTATGAATTCCATTCCCAAACACTTGCCAAGAGCATCAGCCTTTTTTTTCATATACTTTAAGTTTTGCTTCAAAAAATATTCAACACTTTATCTAACATCTTTTCTTGTAGTAAGGTGTTTGTTTAAGACGCAAAATGATAGCATTATTGCATTATATCTTAAATCAGGAGAGCAAGTAAAGAACTTACATTGAATAATTTCTGATTGCAATTTGTTGCATAAATTTGTTTCTTAAATCACTTCAAAATGAAATAGCAATAATTCATAACACATATCATAATAATTCTTTAAGAATCCATCTATGTTTTTGGAGAGTTTATCCAGAATTTATGCGATTAAACTTTTGATTGTATCATTCTAACTAAATTAATAATTTTTACATCTAATTTAATTATGGCTTATATGTATTCATAAAAGTCTGTAGTGTTTTCATAAAAGTTTGAATTTTCTTATTCGTCAAATATCAGGTTATCAAAAATTAAATTAAATAAGAGCTGATGCTGATTATTGTAAAAGAATTCATACGAGAAGGAATAATTCAAACATTCATTTACAAATTACAGCACTGATAATGATGTTGGATGATCAAATTTTTTTTCCAAAAATGATTATATAAGTAAGGGTAATATTTGATTAGTCAATTAAGCTAAGTAAGGTATCTATACTGAGTCAAACTTTAATTATGCTTGGACTTAAGATTAATTTTTTATTAGTATGCATAATGATTTAAGCAAGTTTGAAGTAATGATGTTTTCTAGCAATAAATACTTTGAAATAAATTTTAATAAGTGTTAATCTTGTGATAATAACAATAATTTTTCTTGTTAATAGCAATTGTATTTTTAAACGCAGATAACAATTATACTGCTTAATGTTTTTCCAACATGGATATCAATGCTTGAGTAATCTATGTATTAGAATTATTGAAATATTTGTTCAACAATAACTTACAATTATTAATCCAGAGTTCTAATATTAAATAGAAATCTTAACAATTAGTCTAAAATAAATAATATTGATGTAATGGATGTAGACATTTATTGATGACTACTTACTAAGGATTGAGACATTTATTGCAATAAAAAATCAAATAATTCATTCTTTTCTTAAAAGGCTTCAAAAACCATTCCAATCAGATGGGACATAAGTTTAATATGAGTTTTGTAATATTTAATTCCTAGATGAATGGATAAGGAAAAAATGATTTACTAATCTTATTCTGATGTAATTTGAGAAAGTTTCTTTAATTACATAGTGGCAAAAATGACAAGTTGCTTGAATCTTTAAGAATTGTATTTCTAAGGATTCATCTGCATAATTGAATCAAAGTGATAAATCGATCTAATGATCATAATTAATTTTAGTGAGAAATTGTTCTCCATGTAGAATTCAACAGATTTTTAATTTTCTTGGTTAGAATAAACTTTGGCGATGTAATCTAAGAGTTGATCCAATTCAACCACCGACAATCCTTCTGCAATTGGATGCGTAAACAATTAGAGTAAATAACTTTAATTCATGATTATAATTTAATTAAAATATTTTACATCAAATTTTTAATATAAAGACTGATAATAATTTAAGAAGAAGGCACTTAGAGTCAGAAATCAAATGGATCTCATTCTGAATAGCTCCTAAATTTAGAAGTTAGGGTTAAAAAAATAATATTTATAATAATTTGCTTTATGTGGATATATATCAATGCGAATACCATTTTGGCTATCCATTAGCATCCTAGATCACTAGTCTTCCATCATCCTACAAAATCAAAACAAAAGGAGGAGCATAGTTTCCAAAATTTTACCCAGTAACCCAATAAGGCATGCCTTTTGCGTCTATCATTTATAATTCTCCTCCTGACTGATCAAACTTCAACCAAACAGGTGGGATAGGTTGTCGGTTGAAATTAATAGCCTAATTTTATATTTTTGAATACAGAAAATATTGGTTATCTTGTCTAATTATGGAAGATGAATAATCTGCCATCATGAAAGAATGATAAAGTAAACTATTAATTTGGACTTGTTAACATAAACCCTGAGACCATGGTTTTATTCGATGAAATGATATTTTAGTCATCATCCAACCATCTTAATCTATTTCCATTAGCCCAAACTCCCTTTTTTTTTCCTCCATTTACAAAGGTCCATTCACTAGATATTTCAATATTTATACCCATTTCCATGCATATTGTTATCAACCCATTATCCATCATATTGCTATCTGTTGTTCCAAACCTGTTTACCTTATCCATTTTTTTTCCCATTTATAAATTGACCTTCATATCTAGAATCCCCAATTACTAAAACTCCCATCCCATTATACTAAAAATATTAAAATAATCTAATACTTAATCATTAGCCCAATAACCTTCATAGTACCCACCATAACTAAATTAGAGCCTACCCTAACCATGTTTTAAATTATTCATCATATCTCCGGAATAATGATCTCCATTTGGGTAAGTGAAATCTACTCTTCCATTCATTGGCTATTGCGCATAACTATTTTGATATCTAACTTCATAATTTTGAACGAATTAATTCAATTATTAGGGAAAAACTTATTATTATTATTATTGTTATTATTATGGCTATTAATATTATTAAAGTTATTATTAAAAGGATTCCTTTGTAGGAGCTTCGGTTGATTGTTTCTCCTTTTACAAATAATCTTAAGGTTTCGATGTTTTGAATGTGCATTCTATTTCTACATCTCCTACATTAGAACCATCATAAAATATTGTAACTGTTTACAATTAATTCTCTTTTAGTGATAATGAATCAGTAATTGAGGCATAACCTATGAGATTAATAAATTTTCTTACCGCATCCCAAGAAATCATTCCATCCAATCAAGGATTCAGCCCAAACTTCTATATATAATGTATCCTCGTTAGTTTCTCTTGTAAATACTATTTCGTCATTCCATTTCGGTGTAGTGTGTCCAGCAGCATCAACAGAAGTGTTCATGGTTTCATTACCAAAATGAATAGTTAAGAAGGGATCCATTTTTAATAAAAGGTTGGTATTCTTTTTTAATCGACCAAATTTTGGTTTTACGATGAATTTTCCTTCTGTATCTGGAGCCTTGATTTCTGGTAAATCTTTTCCACTTGGATCTAAAGTAAAGGTAGCTTCTAAACTGATTTCACCTGCTTTTTCACCATTATGGAAAAGTAGAAATGAAATTCTCTTTGGTTCAGCATTTCCTTTTCTTATAGAAGTCAAAGAAAATGCCCCTTCTCCTATAAGAATGTCAGAAGTTATAGTATTTTCGCACCAAACTTGCCCTATGATTACATCTTGTTCACCAAGCAATTTTTAAAATGTGTGTGTACACCCTTCCCATTTTCTATTTAAAAATTAATAAGAAATATATATATACGGGTGCTTTCCTCCTTCCTTTGCAATTGGAGTCTTAAACTCTTGTTTTCCCATTATTAATTTGACGTAAGGATCCATAACTCCTATGAATCTTACATCTCTCTCTAATAAAGCATGCTTTATAGTCATAAAAACTGGCCCTTTGAAACCAGGTGCTCTATTTTGTTCTATCACAGCTCCTGCGCTACTACCACAACCCATTAAGTAAAGTAATATATTTTATGAATAATTTAGATAATTTTGTTTGAAATAGTGAAAAAAATAATAATTGCATTAAATCCAATTATTACGATTCTATTATTTCAATTTTATATTCCCTATTATTGACACTTCATTCAATCTATAAAAGCAATGATGAGTAACACAAATAGGGTTAGCTAGTTTTATTAACACAAATTAAAAATAAAAATTATTATTATTATTGATTTATTATATTAATGTCATTCGCTTTTATTTGCAGAATATTTGCAAATTCAAATTTAATCTTTTTATCCTTTAAATTATTGGTATAATTTTTTTCAAAATTCTATAAAGTTCCAAAACTAACCAGTTAATAACTTATTGTAATAGTCAAGCACGGACAATATTTTCTATCTGATTGCTCATTCAATGATTAAATGATAAAATCTCTAATCTCTAATGATGATGCCTCATTTTGAAATGAGGATGATATCGAAATACTTTGTTTTGTCATTACTTCTTATCAAAACTTTCATTATTCTAGAGTAAATTAAATTTCTGCTTCTGAATCCTTTGCTCTTTCTCTATAATTCTACTTCTCATATTCTATTATTGCAAAATAAATATCTATTACCCAAACTAATCCCTCATATTACATTTACAATAATGTAAAGAATATTAATTTATCAACTACCTTAAAGAATTAATTAATAATGGCATGTTACTAGAAATTATATTAATTTTCAAGCAATTTAGTTCTAACTAACTTACTCTAGTGCGATAACTTCGCTTTTCTTATAATCTCAATTTTAGATTTATAATTATTAATGAATATTGAATAATCAAGATGAGAATTTGCCTGTTCTATTCCAATTATCAATAAGTCTTGCCTTCTCCTTTGAAATACATTCCAAAAGCTCTCGATGATATTATTAACATAAATTAGGATCTTATGCTGATTCTTAACAAGATTTCATTCTGCATCCAAGTGGTTTGCATCTTTATTCTGCTAAATGGTGTAATCTGACTATATCCATCGGTCAAATGCTTTATATTATTTATATTATAATTAATAAATAAACACAATTAAAGTATATATATAATAAATTATAATATAGAGAAAAATATGAATTATGCATTAAATGTATGTTAAATTATAGAATAATCATGCGTCTGTTTGAGTTTTTTATCTCCAAGTTTTATAATCTGGATCATACATGAAGCCTTTTTCATTAGAAAACATGTAATCTATTAATTAAGATTGAGGATGATATCATACCTATCATTAACACTATTCCAAACATAAATGAAATAGTTAACCAAGCAAATCTAACAGCATCAATGGTAACAGCTGCAAATAATAATGTGATTAAGACGATGGTGAAAATAAGCGATTAGGAACATGAACAGCACGCCATTTATTATTAATATTTATTATTTATGTTTGAATTAAGGATTAATACATCATTTTTTTTTCTTCTCACACTTTTATTTTGGATCAACAATTAGAGCCTTAGATTCTCTCTTCTTTATTGTGTTTTGTCACTTATTCAATAAAGATCTAAAATGCTTAAAAAAAAGGGTCATCATTTATGATATAAAGCTGAAGACCCTACATATGGCTGTAATAAAAATCAAACTGCAAATTCTTCAAAGGGGATTGATCCATCTAGAATATTCTTGTAGAAAATAAGTTTATGAAAAATTTTTGAAAAATTCAAAAGCCTATCCTACTTAAATTCTAAGTGCCCAAACAGAAATTAGACATAATGTTGTTTCTACTTCGGTAATCAATATTTTTTGAAAAATACATCTAATATAGAAATTATCTGAAAAACCTTGTTTCTCAAAGTAAATCTTTTTATTTTTCATTCATTCTGCCTAATTCTTACAAACTAATGAAAGAATTTCTAGAGTTTGACCCAATTTAGTTAGCCTTTTCTAATCTTAAAGAGCCTTTTGAATTAGTCTACCGAACAGCAGAAAAATTTAATTACGCTTCAGAGGATCTATTAGTAATATCTATTAACACAGCATTCCATTTACTTTACAAAAGCTTCAATTGCTATAGTTTTATCAGAAACTGATAGCCAGTAGAATAAAGAGTAAGTTATATAACTATTTTTTCTTTCAGAATTGGAGAACCCAATGAAATTTCAATTTAAGTAATTAAATTGGCTAATTATATATCTTAATTAAGGACTAATAAGAATTAAGTGTAGTTTTAGACTATTATTCAAATGTCCAGCTCAAAACATTTTAATCAACTTGGATATCAACCAAATTGCTGCCATTCATTTTTCCACAGTCCTAAATTAAATTGCCTTGGTAAAAAATTAAAGACATCCTCTTTTTACTGATAAAGTTGATATGTTTTTGGCTTTTCTTAATAGCTTTTCGATGTTTCGTCAATAAAAATGCACCAAGATTCTAGTTCTAGTATAACAAACACTTTTCAAAACCTGCAGAATTCTTAAGAATTTCAACTCTTCCTTTTAAATTAAATTCTTTCTCATTTTCTTTTTCCTAAGTAAACTTATAAGCTTCGGTTTATCATTTTTTAATGTTTCTTTCCCAATCTATTTATGCTACCATCTACTTTGAATTCCTTACTTCCTTTTTTACTTATCAAATTATTTCTAAAAATAGGCTAATTTAATTTTCAAAATTTTGACTTGTTGTATATTATTTCTCTAATCAACCCAAATATACGATTTATTATTATTGTGAATAAAAATGTTTCCCAATTCATTTAGATGTTTTTCTTTTTTAAAAATTTTGGAGCCCAAATTATCTTGGTGCAATTTTAACTCTCAAATTAGTTAATGCTATATCGGATAGATTACTAACTGAGCGTAAAATAAATTGTGTTTATTTTGATTAATTTTTCTTATATTTCTACATCAAACTATTTCCTCAAATTTTATTTTATAAAACCTGCTGACCATCGCAATTCTCTTCTCTCATCTAAGAATATTTTTTGTGTAATTTGAACTTCATATTAATCCCATATTTAGAATCAAATATAATCATACGTTTAAAAAATAACCATGACTTTTTTACAAATCCACGTCATTCTTAAAAATTCTCAATTTAGATCAAGCCTTGATGTCTCCTACTGTATATTATTACAATCTAGAAATTTTCAATATATTATAATTATAAATTGTTATTATAAAATCTAAGCTAATAAAATTTTATTAATTCAAATGAAAATATCTGACGAAATCATTCTAATGTATAATATTCTAAGAATTCTGGGCTGGAGTCAAACTATGGCCTTAATAATTTACTAAACCAAACATGAAATTGATGACATTTCAAATATTTTAAACATAGTCAAAGCTTTGACTATTGGAAAATGTTTTGAAATTGTTTTCATTAAATAATGCTAAGTGTTATCTCAAAGGAATATTTTGAAATATTAAATATTTCTAATGAGGCTCATATTTTAATGGTATTTCATGAGACCCTAATTATGTTTTTGCTCTTTTAGACAGACTATTAGTGGTTGGGCATTTATGGAAATTACTGAATCATTGTATTACGTCAGCAAATCTGAATTTATGAAAAAGTTATTTTCGCTTTTAATATTTATCTTTGTCCCATTTACTTTAATAGGAATGATAAGAGTGATAAATCGAATAATCGAAAAACAAGAATAAGAAGATTATTTCAAGAGATTATTCCAATCGATTCTTGTAATATTTGTTGCTATTCAACTTTATATCAATTTTAAAAGAATTGATTTTGGATAAAACAAAGTGGGAACTCGTAAAATAAAAGCATATTGATTAACTTAATTATATTTATAATTAGCATGCTATATCACTATTTCACTAAACTATATAAGATATCATAAACTGATTTTAACAATTCAAAATGAAATTACGTGACAATTTTCATTAATTAATGAAAAATATGTTCTTAAAGTAAATGCTTTCTCACTCATTTCGAAATCTCCTTAATTTGCCATAAGGATTATTAAATAACTATAAATTTATATGTTATGGTTGAGTTTCAACAATAATTTCTTGTATTTTGGCAATCATTTCATTATAATTAAGAATTGAAAATAATTATTATTCAGTCAATAAATGCAGCTTATAAGTGATCGTGAAGATCCAGAACACTTAATAACCTAGGGAGCATGTTCTGTAGACATTCCAATATAAAGAAACAGACCCTCCTCACAATATATGTTTCACGGTTCCCAGAACAGAAAATTAAAAACTTAAACTACTGTTTCTATATTTGGGTATTACAGTTGATTAATTGACAGGACATTTAATACGTAAGAAGATAAAACAACAATAACTAGAGATACTAGGAGTGTATTTGTTAGGATTGTAAGAAAATTGATCATCATATAATGTTTTTTTGATTCATTAGAATAGTATCGAAAGGAGAGATTGTAATAGAGAATAGAGTTTTATTTTCAAAAAAGAACGAAAATGATTCCATTTTATCCAGATGATTGTTTTATTGTTTTGTGGATGAAAGTCATAACCCTACTGTAATTTTGCTCATGCATTATTTACCCGCTGTTTATTACATTCAATGAGTTAGAAGGAGACTTACAAATCATAGTGATTATTTTGGATATTTTTTTCTCATTAGACATGCTATTAACATTTTTGACAGCATATATCGATGAAACATCTTCATTAAAAATAAATAGTTTTGATATTGCTACACATTATTTAAAAACATGGTTTACCTTTGATCTAATATCAATTTTTCCTTGGATTTAATTAGGTTTGGATAATTTGAGATTTTTCAGACTTTGCAGAATATTAAAATATTTTATCTACAAATAAAAGCACAGCTATAAAGGTTAAGCAGAATAACAAAAAGTGGTACCATCATTTATGCCAGATAATAATATACAATTAAAGGAAGGAATTAAGTTTATAATTGATGTTATGGTGACAGCTTTTCTATTGATACATATATTTGCTTGTGGGTATCATTATTTACTGGAGATAGAATATATAGATGCATTTTATCAGTCTACTCAAACGATAACTACTATTGGATATGGTGATTGTTCTAAATTCATAATTTATGAATATCAAACTTTGTGGTTGATAGTAGGAGTTGGGTTTTATACTTTTACAATAGGTGATTTTGCATACATGATGTAGAGATCAGGGATTAATTAGGATGATGAATGTTATTTCTAATTGGAATAATTGTGTTATATATCTGATTTCCCAGAAAAGATAAAATATTAGTTTTAAAGATTCATCTCAACCAATTTAAATAACAATGCCTTCTGGTCAAGCTACCATAAGAAAATGGTTCACGATTTGCCATATTAAATATAAAACTATTTGGTTTTAAGTGGAATGCTTCAAATTTGTGAGGCTGTGCCTTTCTTTATGTAAGACATTAATTTTACAATTGAATTACTAAACAATGTCCAATTCTTTGTGATTGAAGAGAATGATCTAATTTATAGAGAGGGATAGAATTCGAATGAGATTTATTTCTTATTACAGGGTGATGTGAGGATTATGACTAAGACAAAATTCACCTTATTAAATATCTTAGAAGGAACAATGTTCGGAGAATTCGAAGCGATAGAAGAAACACTAAGAGCTACTTATGCTGTAGCTCTATAAAGATCGTTGATTTTAAAAGTTGATTATGCAATACTAGAAAAATCTATGAAGAATAGTCCAAATTTATACTTTGAGGTTTAACAATTATTTCATAGAAGACGCAAATTGTTGATAAATAACCTGAAAGTTGAGAAATGTATGTATCTATGAACCATATTAGTTAGCTTAACGAAAAAAGGTTAGGAGATCGGTTTTAATTCAATTCAGCCATGAATAATTGTAATATACTAGATAGGAGATGAAAAAGTAAAGAGAAATAAGAGAATTAAAAAATATTAATGAATATAATCAATTGGTTCTCCAGTTATTGATAGATAAAAAGAGACACAAATATGACTAATTATTAGCAAGATTTAAGTCTGTTGTGTTTCGTATTATTCATTTCAATTAATAATTGAACCGAACTCCACCAGAAGATTGGAAAGATTTAGATAATTACAATCTAATTAAGAGAGTATTTCCACTGCGTTGTTTGTCAGATAAGTTTTAAGTATTTTTTCGGAAGTCCTCATCAGTCCACAGTTAATCAGTCAATCGGAGTTCAATTCGGCGAAGAATAGACAACAAGAAATATACTAAATATCATTGGAGACTAAGTGATGTTTAAATAAAATAGATTATTTTAATGCACAACAAAAGATCAGTGAAAGTATATCCAACTTTAAGCAACATTGTTTAGACTTACTAAGGAGGTACTGTAGCATCTTCTCCTTAGAGAATTAATAGGTATTACCCGAGATGGATAAAAGATTTGGTGTAAGAGGATTACACTTCAGAAGAGATGGAACAATTTATATGGAAATATCATCAAATCAATAAAAGATTAGATCGAATAGATAAAATGTGGACGAAAGGATTAATCCTCAGATTTGACAAGTTTAAGTTGAAAAGTTAAAATGATTTGGATCATCTTGATACGGAATCTTCAGATGAAAAATGAAACCTTAATGAGCATCTGCTTCTTTTTCTTTGCAATTCTTTTATGATTATTTATATGAAATTATTGAATGAATTACTTTTTTAAGAACATAAGTTAAGTTTCCTTTACAATTATTATTTTATTTGTCTATAATCAGTGAATGAATGCTGCTAACTTAAATTTAGAAAGAGACAATTATAAGGATTTATTGAAGAGTATAAAGGATGAATCAATGCAACTTGCCATACGACATCAAAGCAATTCATAATATGTTTTGGAGAAAAAAAGGAAATAAAAAATGGAAACTGAGCATAAATTCACGTTGGCTCTTCCAAGCATAGAAAACAGTACTTTAGAAGATATTTCTTCTCATTTTCATTCCATTCGAAGAAGCTAACCTGGAGGATTTTGTGAATTAATAGCCAATAAATCTTAATAAAAGTTTATTTAGCAAAGCTTTCTTGAATTACAAAGAAACAAAATGTCTCAAACTTATAGAGACATTAGTTTAAGCGAAAGGAAATTTAAATCCATGTAACGTAAAGTTCCTCATCGAGAACCATTAACATTAAAATATTTAGAAAAATAGTTGGGAATATCTAAAAGCCCTGAAAAACAAATTTTGCCCACTGTTTAAAGACAATAATAATAGAAAAGAAAGATTACAGAGGAAGACATCAAAGAAGAATAGCCAGTTGTCTCATTTTTCGAAGAAACTTTAAACTCTTATTCTTACGCTGTCCCTAGCAGAAGAGAGTCTGCCTAGATTGGTGTTGTCAGAGATAGAATGTATGTCTATGGAGGAATGAGCGGAGCTGGAATAACTAATGAAATTTGGTGGTTCGACTTAAGTAAATATTTAAATAAAGCCAATAGAAAAGCAGGAATGGAGTAATTATTGTTCAAATGTTTAATTATTTATAACCAGTCATTCAATGGTGGTATGGAAATAGTTTTTGGTGTTATTTGGGGGATCTGGGTATTATGATCATAAAATGAAAATCAGGTAAGTGTATTCCACTCTTGGATTCTTTAATACATTGACTAACTAGTGGACAACATCTTTGGAATCAGTGGAACCCAGAAGGGAACATAAAGCTTCAGTGCTCTTCGGAAAATTGATGGTAATAACTGGTGGATTAGATTCAGCAGAAAAACTACTGAATGACACCTTAATTTATTCCTTGGAGTCTAAGAGATGGACTGGTTAGAAATTGTTATTTGAAGAAGGAATTGCATAACATGCTTAATGCACCGCATATGATAATAAGAGAAATATTGAAACTGTTTATATGTTTGGTGGATAAACTGCAAAATTGAACTCGTTCCCTTTAATGAAGATGATATTTTATGGACTTCATCCTGTTGGCTGGGAGAAGGTATAATATACAGGTTAAGCACCTGAGGGTAGATACAATCACACCATGGAGAATGTTGGCGATTACCTGATTTTAATTGGTGGCAGATCCTAAGAGAAGAAGGAATATTAGAATGAGATTTATATTTTCCATCTTCAAAAGAGTTATTGGACTATAGCATAAAGATAAGGGTTGTAGACAAAAAGATGGAGTCATTCTAGTTGCGTGTATGGTAGCAACATTCTATGTTTTGGAGGAATAGGTGAAAATACATATTTGCCTCCTCACATATATTAAATAGAAACTGATAATTTCAAGATCAAAGGCAAGATTGTGGTTGTTAAACCATTATCAACTATAGATGAGGAAATCACTAGCAACAGTCCTCCTATGATAATCACAAGAGAATAGGAGTAGGATTCTAAGAAGGTTTGTAGATTGGAGAAATTCAGAAAAGCAAGAAAAATGTATGAACAAATTACAACTTATTTGCCATTGCCTAAGTTGAAAACACCTAAAATGAGATACGACCTCTTAATTCATTTTGTTAAGAACGTACTGAAATAAATTGGTTACATCTGAATATAATTTTAGAATAAATATTCTATTCATTTTAAATTTAAATAATGGTAATATAATTATTTTATTGAAATTATATATACTCATATGGATGCCATGAGTTGTAATGTCTGCGGAAATAGATTGGTTATTAAGGGTATTTCACTTGTTTGCACTGGATGTGGAAATGCTACTGTATGAAAATATCACTTATAATTAGAGAAGCAATCATATATTCTCAACTGAACAAGAATATTAAAAGTAAATACTCAAAAGAACTACCTCGCATATTATGCAAAGGAAAGAAAGAGAAATTCAACTCAATCTTACAT